CCCCAAAACGGGGATGCGCTGCACAGTCCAAGGCCCAAGGGAATCTAGTCCATCCGTAGAAGAGAATCGCGGGTCACGCATCCAACAGAAAAGGAAGGATATGTGCAGATCGGTGTCGACACATCTGTCTCCGGACTCGAGCTTTGTAGCATCTGGACCAAGAGATGAAGAGGAACTAGTTTTCCATGCCCTTCTCTTCCCAGCGAAATGAAAGGAACCTGCAAGGTGGCCTTCGCACAATGCGAAGAATGGAAGATGCAAGATTGCGCTGGTTCATGGTTTGCCTCTACTCGCGCAAGGAGGGAAGAGAAGTGAGGAAAAGGGAAGAAAAGAGAAGAAAAGAAAAGAGATCATAGTAAAGAAGAGCGAAAGTTTTCAAGCCTTCGAACAGCTCGAGGCTGCCTAAGGCAATGATATCATTCCTTTTGCCGTATGCCCTCCGGCCAGTGCGGACAGAATATGACCATCGCAAGCTACTTGCCAGCACCCGAGACTTCTCTAGCCGCACGATAGATAGCGTCCGCAAATCAGGCAAGTTGTAGATCGCAAGTTATGCGTCCCGTGTTCTCCGTCCCGACGAGAATGGGAGTGGGGAGTGGAAGGAATCTTCTCGCCCTGCCCTGCCCTGCCCTGTTCTCGCCACTACGAGACAGGCAGAGGATGAGACGGAGTGTGGGATGAGGAAATAATGTGTGACCGGGAGTTGCTCGCCCGTCCGAGACAAGACCTGACTCACGAGAGGCGTTGAAGAATGAATGCTGTGATGAAATAAACTAGCGAGCGGGAAAATATACCCGAAGCCCAATTCAAAGCCGAGAAATAAGGTACAAGTCAAGAGTCAAAGTAGGCCTGAGGCTCCTGTCTCTTCCGTGACCGTTGCGCGCCAGGGATGGGATACAGCCAACTCACTTTTTGCTCCCGGATTGCGTACCGTTACTCCGTGGGGTTTGACTGAGACCCACGAACCCGAAATTGCGGTGAATCTCACTGCAAACGTACCAGACACAAGAACAGGAGCCGTGATCACGGACTGTTCTACTCCAAACGCGACGGGGCGAGTTGAAGAAAACGGGGAAGGTTGGGAGGTTCGTCTGCACCAAAAGAAAAATCCCTTCCTCCCCCCCCCCCGCCCCCAAAATCAAAATGGGGGTATGCTGGCACACGCACACGATCCAAGCCTCGAATTGCCTGGGCATCAGAGGGGGGCAGATGGCCACACTGATCGAGTGAAAGCATGGGGTACATACCAAGGCGCGCTCTCGGTAAAATATGTCTAGCGGAAGTATAGCATGATGCTTTGGGGGTTGAGAGACAACCAGATTCACCATATTCACCATCTTCCGAACGCCCCAGGGATTCGATTCTCTCGCGCAGGTAGCCGGTGTGGCACGAAGATCAGGTCAGATGTTGGTTTACCTCCCGTATGCGGGTGGCCGTGGAGATGTTGTTGCGCTGTCGCCGGTCGGGGTGATGTGGCGGGAACAGAATGGCCGGAGCAGGTAGTATGCGTCGGCTCCTCTTGAGTGTAGAGTGTTGAGTGGGTGTAGAGTGTCTATAGAGTCTTGAGTGTAGAGTCTTGAGTGTAGAGTCTTAAGTGTAGAGTCGTGAGTCGTGAGTCGTGAGTCTTGAGTCTTGAGTCTGAGTCTGAGGAGCGAAGAAGAGTCCGACGTCGAGGCCCCATGCCCATGCCGATGCCGAGGTCCCTATGGTGGTTATGTTTAGGGACCAAGCCCGTGCCCGGCCGTACAGGATTAGGTAGCTACTCCGCATGTCCGGCATCCCCTGTCTGCTCCCGAGCAGTGAGCACCTACTACTACTACTACGTAGTACTCCATAGGTCCCGGTCCCGGTCCCGGTCCTGGTCCAACTCCTTAACTCCGTCCGGAAGCTGAAGGGCACGCACGGATGCGTGGGCTATTTTTTTCCTGCTTGGCTGACTATTGGATTGGATTGGGAGGTGATTTACGTAGTATTTGGTGGAGCCGCGGCGACGGGTGCAGCGAGACGGGCGACGGGCGACGGGCGACGGGCGACGGTGCATGAGACAGAGGTGAGGTAGCAGAGATACCAGAGGTGCCAGTCGTACTTTTGCAAGTAGTCCCTACTGTAGTTGTCCTACCACCACTACGACTACTGTACTACGTACTACGTACAGTATGTACCTCCTCCCTCCTGCTGCTTGGCGTCTGCATGTCCGTCCGCATGCTGCACCTTCTTATCCAGGAGCTCCGTACAGAATCCCTGCTTATTGATGCGAGTCAGGGGTATTCGCCAAGTCACCACCTACCCTTTCAGCTCATGACACGAAGAGGCCCGAGCATAGCAGTAGTGGTAGTGGTAGTGGTAGTGGTAGTAGTAGTGGTAGGTAGCAGTATAGCAGTAGCAGTACCGTAGCAGTAGTAGCAGTAGTAGGTAGTACGTAATAGCAAAGCCAAAGCCACAGTCAGCCACAGCCACAGCCAAAGCCAAAGCCCCATGTCCTTCTCTATCCCTAGTGAGGTGGAAGCTACCTACCTACGGTCCAGACGAGACCTACCTCTCGTTATAAGAGCATCAAGTATCAATTGATTTCATAATGGATTGATCTTTCGTGATCCTCCGCCAATCACTCGGTAATCGCGACGGCGGAATTAATCGATGGGGAGGTGGAGGAGAGTGGAGGAGAGTGGAGGAGAGTGGAGGCCGAGTGGGGGCCAAGTGGAGCCAAGGGGAGCAAAAAGTGGAGCGAGAGTGGAGCGAAAGTGGAGGCCGAGTGGGGTCGTAGTGGGGTCACAGTGGGGCCTGAAGAAGAGTGGACCGTCTTCCGAACTACTACGTAGTACGGTACTAGGTACGACCTACGACCTACGACCTACCTACTAGGGACGACCTACTACGTAGTGGAGAGGGTGCATGGCCCTCCCCAGCTCCGCCCCTGAGATTCAGCGCCCCGACCACCTGGATGCGCATCCATACAGAATAGTGTCTCTCTTTCAGGTATCGCGGGGCTCTTGGCTTTGCTTGAAAACCACGACGGATATAGTAGTAGTACCGGTACCGTAGTAGTAGGTACTACTACGTAGTATGTAGGACCTAGTACCTAGGCAGGTAGGGACCGTATTGAACTACTATCAATCGCTCGAACTACTAATTAACCCAAGGACCGACTGGACAATTAAGGTACAGCCCAATGGATGGATGGCTTGACTAGGTAGTCCTTCCATATTTACACCTGATTCATTTCCAATGCACGATTCCAACGCACATGGCATGGCGGGCTGCCACATTTACGGAGTCCAGTAGAATCTTGATCGCCTCCGCTTCCTCCTCCTCCTCCTCCTCCTCCTCCACCATCACCTCCTCCGCCACTATCACCTCCTCCTCCTCCTCCTCCTCCTCCTCGTCGGTCCCCTCCGGCTCTCATCCATCCTCCTCTCCTCCCATCAACACATCTTCGGATTCACCTACCACCTACCACCTACCACCTACCACCTACCACCTCCCCCCTTCTCCCCTCCCCCCTCTCCCCTCCCCTCCATCAGATGCCTTCATTACCACTCCCCGTCCATCACCCCTAATTTTGGTCGATCAGATCGATTGGACCTTGGCGAGGATTCCCCATTGCATAATTGCATATGAGATACCGATACTGAGAGGACCACGATTTGCATCAACCTGGCTAGTACGTAAGTCAGAAAGTCAAGTTTCATCCTTTTGCATTCATCCTTTCCGGGCGGACTTCCTTACCGCACCCTCGGCCTGCACATCAATTTGAAACGGCGGAAATTTGTTCTTCTCTTGTCTCGCGTTATTGACATCACCGCCCTGTGACGGCCTACATCAATACCGTACCTATCGATATCCGAGATCAGTCATCAGTCAATCCGCCCACGAGCTCTCCATGCGTTGCAGTTACACCCATTCTGACCAAGAGCAGATCAGAGACGAGCACCACATCAGCTGTGTACGACCGGTCCCCCGGCACGACCAAAAACATCCCGCCGAGTCCTCTCCAGTCCGTCCCCATCCCTCTCTATCCGCATCGGCATCGGCATCTGCATCTGCATCTTCATCTTCATCTTCCTCATCCTATCCGCGTTCGCGGCCGCGTCCTCTCCCGCGAGACATGCATTGAGAGCCACCGACGATCTTGCAACGTGAGCGAACCCCCATTCTGCAGTGCTAGTTTCATACCGCTCCACCAATTCAATCCCCAGGACAAAACCCCATGGCTGACCTTGATCACTTCCACAGACGTCCATGAGATCTTCCAGCCTGCTCTCTTCCCATTGGCCTTTTTTCGCTCAACCAACCGGTATCCGGTCGGAAATAGCAGAGAACCACGACTGACCGACCCTTACTCGGGAGCGGTTTCCCCATCTCGAGAGTCAAAATGGCCACTGCCAATCTCACAATTGTCACCGATGCAACATTACGCGCCAAAAGTTCCCCCAGCTTCTCGAGCGATGGAGTGTCTCTGGGAGGCCGTCGGGGCCCAACATCCCCTCCGTCTTCAATTACGCCGCCTCCAGCCTTCATCGCCGCATCTGCTGCCTCGCAGATTGTGACGAACGACCACGACAGCCATGCCGAATTCTGGCTCGAACAACACGGAAATGAGCCATCGGGAGAGCCTGCCATAGTTGCACCACCCGCTCTGAGCTTGGTGAACATGTTTCTCGATCAGATCCTCTTCACAGTCCTCTCCGTCTCGAAATCAACCTCACTCGCGTCGCTTCGACTGGCCGTCGCGCAAGTCCTGAAACCGAAGCTGGCATATGGAGCCATCGCGGGCGCTGATCAGGAACTACACGAGTACTTGGGTGGCGGTGAGGAAGAGGAGCTGCTCGCATTTCACAATGGCCTCGACGAACCGAGCGGCGACTGGGATTTGGAACTCGTTTGGAAGCGTACGCGACTTCGATGTATGGTCTATTCCTCCCTCGGGGATATGGAGGAGGAAGACGAGGACTATTACGCGGAGCGAGAGCATTTAGATGGGTCCCCTCAGGACGTTGTCTCTCCGGCGGTAGCCATTTTCATGACTTCGATCCTGGAATTCATGGGAGAGCAAGTTTTGGTCGTTGCGGGGCAAGCTGCGTACCATAGGCTGAGAATCAAGATCGAGAAGGAGAAGGATGAGTTGAACCCGTCGGCAGGCATCGCAGATCGAGTCGTAGTGGAGGAGAACGACATGGAACGGGTTGCGCTGGATCGAACAATCGGCCGGTTATGGAGAGGCTGGAAGAGGCGAATACGAACCCCGGTGTCTTCCGTCTCGATGACCCATTCGATTTCCCGAGAGTCCTTGCGGACGTTGACTGAAAACCAAGCTGAAATTGCCGTGTGTGGAGACGCAGTCGAGCCGGACTCCTTAGAACCACCTTTGTCTGCGGTGTGCGCTGAAGGGAAATATGCCGCTCTGGTACCTCTTCCGATGAATGACAACGACATCTTAGAGATTGAAATTCCAGGCCTTGCTCGTCAGAGTGATGACGAGGATGGGTCTTCTCCGAGTGAGGATGACGAGGTTCTTCTCCCATCGCGGCCCAAGAGTATGGTGATCTTCACCCACGGCGTGCAAGGACCTTCTGCTTCCAGTTCTGCGCAACCTGAGCGTTCAGCCTCGGATCGGGGGTCGAGAAAGCGCTCAAACTCTCTACCTTCAGCTCTACCGTTACCATTCAGGTTGGTCAAACGCCATAAGCCTTCCGTTGACGTCCCAGCGGAAGACAACCATGCCACAAAAGAATCCCAGCAAGACCCGGGCGGAGCCCCAGAGGAACCCGAAGACACTTCTCCTGAATCTCATGCCGTCAAGGATGTCGTCGATGCTCTTCGCACGGGAGCCGTGGCAATCGGTGCTACTGTCATGGCTGGAGTTGTTGCTGCGGCTCACGGCGAGGTACCTCAAACAGCCCTCGCTGAGCCCGACGAGCATGAGCTGGAAGAAACAGTCACTGAGGAGGCCCAAATTATGACATCGTCGCGTGTCTCCTTCCGTGGCCGGATGACTCCTGAGGCGGGTAAAGAGGCGTCTTCAGGGCGTTCGAGTATTCGATCTGTGAGCGGACATTCTCTCCGACTCATAGATGTCACATCAACGCGGAGTCAAGTCAGTTCGCGGCAGGGCTTTGACGATGCGGCTGATCTCTTAGGCGCTCGACCCGTGGTTATATCTCGGTCAAGCAGTTTTCACTCCGCTGTCAAATATGAAAATCAGATATCACGGATGGATAGTCCGGTGTCCAGATGCTCTAATACCAGTCCAATTACTCGGAATGGGTCATCGCTGAGCTCAAGACGAACGAGAAACAGCGCTGATGATTCAATTTCAGAGGTCGAGGAAGATCACGACCCTGTGTCACCAACTCGGATAGGCCTGGCCGTGGGTGGCCAGAGCATTGATGTTGAAGCCATGCCCAGCTCCGACGAGTACAGTTCTGTAGCTTCTAGCGACACTCGTAGTGTAAAGGAGAATGTTTCGACTTCGGACGGACATTCTCGGTCTGCTCCCCTGTCTACTGTCCCCTACTACCAGCCAGGGCCGCCCCCAGCGGCAGAACACCAAGGATCGAGTCGAGGTCCAGCGAACTACCAACCAGTTCCTCATCCGTCGCATCAACAACAACACTCGCCGAGCAAACCTCAACCTCGACTAACCACAGACCGATCGTCTCCTCCTCGCTCCTCGTATATGGAGCACATCATAAGCAAGGGTTCTCCCACTCATCATACATCACGCTCTGGCTCATCATTCGGCTCGCAGAAATTGAAGCCCATACGCACATCCGACGACTATGGGCGGAGGTCTGGTGATACCAAAGGACAAAGCTTCGAGCAGCTTATCCAAAGTGACGAAACCATTCAGTATACCCTGACACCGGAAAACATGCGTGCGATTGAGGTATGTCCCCCCCACCGCCGCGGAAGCACGTGTCCGAAATATACTGATTTTAGAACCAGGTTGGCTCGCCTATAAGTTTCCTGGATCACAGACCCACGAACGGCCGATCGCCTTCGTTGTCACCTGGCAAACCTTCAGCTGGTTTCAATTCACACCCGCATGTAGACATTGGGAAGTCCTCCACATCGAACAAGTCGGCTCTCACACCTGTATCGAGACTCCAAACCAAGGCGGGGACCAAATTGAGGCCGAACGCCCCACAGCCTCGAGATGCTCGATGTGAGCGAGACTCTATTGGGGACTTCGCCGAATTCATCAGAAGCACCGGTACGTCCTCCCAAAACGCTCGTCAGACTCGAGATAGACCTTCGACAGGTTCGTCTTACATCTCGTGGATTCCTGATGCTAACCTTGTCACTAGGCCCTGCCAATTCGTATGAGCACTTACCCCCCACCAGAGCGGCTTCGACCAAACGTGGTACGAACAGTGTCCCGAGGAATCCCGGCCCAACAGGACCTCCTCGAGCTGGAAGCGCTACCACAATGACACAGCGTAGTGCCACTTCAGCAGGGCGAAGCAAACTTCAAGCCCGTGATGCTGTGATTCCCCGCGGTGAGACTGTCAGCGATTTGATCGATTTCGTGAGATCCGGACCTCAGCTAGAGAAACAAGATCACCGGATACCTCGTACCGTGGCGCCATTCCGCGACACGTTGGACTCGGACCATCTGGTTGGGGCCGTCGGTGGTAAAGCTGTCGATGCCACTCTACCTGATCTGCGGTTCAGCCAAGCATTATCAGTCTCCAGCTCCATGACTTCGCAGAGTGCGCTTCTGGGTGGTTCTCGGAACAAGCCACTACCCTGTCACAGCCCGAGTAACCTTGATGAGGAAGACTCGATGCCGAAGCGCAAAACGCGACGAGTCCGCGATCCGTACTCCCTTGACTTTTCTGATGAAGATGACGACGACCTCCTCTCGAGACCCGCACCAATCAAGGAAGAGAGCTTGGTAGATTTCCTCCGCAACGCGCCCCCGCCCCCGCCACCCAAGCCTGTCCCTGAGCCCGTGTCGGCGCGGCCTAGGTCTAGCAGGACGAATAAGAAGCCTAGCTCCCCAAGTATCATGTCGCGATTCGGTCGTAATGGCTCCATATCTGGCCAAATCTCATTCATAAGACCACAAGGGAACGATTCCGCCTCGTCCCCGGTCACAAAATCTCCCATCACCCCTTTGGATGCGAATTTGAGCCCAATCTCGCCATCGTCCTACGATCAGTCTCGTAAGGGTAGCTACGCCTCGCAGACCGACTATACACGGAACTATACAGCTGCGCAGATGGGTAACCAATCTCGCGAAGCAGTCAACGCGATCAAGCCTCAAAGTAGCGACCCAACCAAGCTCCTCCGCAACGACCCGCTTCGCAGCGCGCAAGCGCAACCAAAGACCTTTGTTCCGACCCTCCAAAAGGAAGAAGCATCCACCTTTCAACGCATATTCGGTCGCAAGAAGTCTGCGCACTAGTCGTTTCCCTCTCCCAATTTCTCTACTCCTCTCTATGGTGTCTCTGCCATGATTGGAGACTTCGCTTGTGGATAGCCATTTACTGTCTTTACTTGGCATCTCCGGTGTCATTGGCTCTCCTTTGCCTGGCAAATGCCACATGTCTGATTTGGTGTTGTTATACTATCGTAGATACCACATAATGTTTTACGCAGCCAATTACGTTGAATGTATGAAGGCCGCCGCGCTCTCTTGAGCATGGGGCGCAAGGCGATAATGTCGTTGGAAAATTCGGGAATGAAGCAGTAGGGTGCGGGATTATGTATATATAACGGGATTCTGACGGGAGGCTTTTTTACGATTAGTGCCGTCCTCTTGGTGATGTATGAAATTGGATGATGTCTGGTTCTCGTTCTCGTCCTCTCTCGGTTGTTGAGTTGATATGTGGTGATCGACATGTGGTGATGAAGTTTTTTAAAAACTTCTCTTCAGCGCCCTTCCTCCCTCTCTAACTCTGAATTTTTCGAGCGTTGGAAAGAAAAGCGAATGAGCAGCTAGCTGGCTGGCTGGTAAGATGGATCTCTCTCTCCCTCTCTCTCTCT